TATAGCAGTACAAAAATAAATAAATAAACCACAGAATCTCTCAAAAATCAACCATCAGATAACCCTTTGGTAGAAATATCTTTTGTTTCATTCTTTCACAACGGTTTTCTAATGTGTACACAGTTTTACCATATTCTATGATGTATACTTAATACAAATTACATTAAAATAGGCACACTCGAGGTGAGAACCATTCGAAATGAAAAGTAAATTTACGTTATCATGATCAAATGTAAAAAAAAGTATCATACAAAGATAATAACATAGCGATTACTTTTATCTGCGTTCAAAACAATGGTGCCTGTATTTAATTATTCTTCGGATTCAAGTTAAACTTATTGTGAAAAAGTATGGATGTCGATCAGTGACATTCTGTAAATGATACAGTGAATAATGGATGACATAAACATCTAAACTATGGTGGAACCACAGTCATCTGTATTTCTCTTATCAGTTTAATAATAGAAGCCACTACTTTTGCTCTACTATTAAAATTTATCATTTTTGCTCTAAGGAAGCCGAAAACCACTGTCACTACAACAATAATAATGACAGCAACGAGTGCTACCCCGAATACAAGTAAGTTTTAGAGTTACAGGTTATATTAAAAGAATAAATGATCAAATTGTAGATGATGCAGCCTTTATCATAAGAAAAATAATGCGAGAACAAGAATCATGTTACATATTTTTCATTATTATGGACGGTTACTTCGTTTTGTCTATATCGGTATAATGGATTCCATCTTTGTAGCAGTACTAGAATCAAAAAAAGGTGTAGGTGTCAATAAGTGCTAGATCTTCATTCACACCCTCTATGTTGAAAAATTTAAACCAAGATTTTGCTATTATGAATTCGTATTTCGATTTACTGTGAAGGTGGAATGTAGCGAGAGAAAAAGCTATCATTCATCAATCAAACAAAGGAGATAATACATGAAGCTAAAGAATTTACAAATCTTTCATCTTTATTTCAAAAAGAAAAATATTTACAACCAAATTTCAATTAAATGTGGTTTATGTCGATATTTCAATGAACGCATCCATTTCTTTCGATAGAGTAACGAGTAGACATACCATTCAGGAGCTAATGTCGATAAATTTTCTTCACTATTTCGACAAGCTTCCTCATCTTTACAACTTAGAGTCAAACGAATAAGTGATGGAAAACGTTTAAATATTTTTCCTAACCAACGAACCAAATGACGAGTAGAAAGCCAAGAATCCAGATGTGCATCAATGTCTAAGATTAATTGTTGTAAACAAGGTGATGATTGACCATAACTAAATAACTTATCAATAATACGAACAAGATCACCAAATGAACTATTAGCTTGTTCAGCATTAAAATGTAAGACTTCAAGCTGTTGACTGAGTAACATTCCCAATTGTTTATTCAAGCAAAGAACATAACCATAATCCAGATCTGATTTGATATATAGTTCACGTAAATACGGTGATCGTTGAGCGATATGAAGTAAATGCGAAATATTTTCGCCAACATCACCACTAGATTATATTCAAAAAAAAAATTAACAATAAATCTATGATATGATACTTACTTATCATCTGGACAATCGCCTTCGAGATTTATTTTCCTTAAACGATACCAACAAGATATTGCTTCCAATTGTGCAAGCCGTTCATCTTCGACATAATCCAGTTCAAAAATATCCATCTACAAAGAGAGAATAGTGGTTTGAAGTTCATTTTCGCTCATCCAACTTACTTCTTCAATATGATTGTCCACTGGTGCATCTCGAACGCATTCAAAACTCTTTGTTGAATCATTACTACTATCAAGATCTTCCCATTCGTTATCATCCGTCTCCAGTGGATGTGAAAATGACATTGTTGGATAAGAAAGATTTATTTTTCCATATTGTGCTACAGATTCTTCACCAGTTGCTTGTCGATATTCAGCAAAGATTTCTTCTGTAATTTCATTATTACTATACGCATAAATTGTGCACAAGTTCAGCTGAAATTTAAATATCTTCGATTTTGTCAATGTTACCCATTGACGTAATGTTGTTACTCGTGGAAAATGACTATTATCAGCGAATCTTTCATAACCTGACATAATTAATTGATCAAGTTGACTGTATCGTTGAAGATCTTCGAAAAAAGTTAAAACCCAAGCTACACCTGTAAAAATTTCTACATTGACGTGACGTAGTTCAGGTGCAAATGCTTGTTTCAATGGAATTGGACGTGACAATTCTTTCTCGATATTGGCATAAGTCCTAAAACAATAAAAAAACCAATTATAGTTGATCATGTTCGTTGACGATCAGTTACTTACATTGGAAAAACAACGCGTAGATGTTGTAATTTTGGTAGATGACCATTATTCAACAGTTCAGTCAGTAATTCTCTTGAACATTCAACTATTGAAAGAGTTTGTAAATTTTGATGAATAGACATAGGAGGACAGCTTTCACTAAATATCGTTGTATAATTCTCACCGACACGACTGGCAATTCGTAAATATAGCGAATTTAATTGAGACAAGCAGTTGAGAACTGGAATAACAATGCCAAAATCATAACATTCATCATATTCCTCACAATGAAATCGATGGTAACCAACATCGAGTGATAATGAATGAATTTTAGATAAGAATGAGCAATCATAAAGGAGTATTTCAAGAACGTGACGTGGAACATCTTCAATGGTCACTGCTTTTAATGCTGACCAAACAAGATTATTTAATGGCACTTCAGACAGAAAATAATTCAATGCATGTGGTGCATTTCGTTCAGATAAATGAAGATAAACAATTTGTGAAGCATGTTTGCTAACAATTTCCTTTAAATAATAAAGATATAAATGAACACTCATTTGTCGATTATTTGGTAAACATAGTGACTGCTGAGTAAGCATAATGTTAAATCGTCGATTGAGATTTTTGAAAGCATTAAGTAGATCATGCGGAGCAAGATATTCAAAAATATGAAGAAAAAGTTCCACTGGTAAATCTTGAAGATGAGATCGATGTTCATTCATGATTAATCGAATGATCAACTTTCAAGTGCATCGATTTATATCATTATCAATAGACTGATATATTTATGTTGACCTTGAATTGCTCATTGACATCATTCACAATAATCGTCTAAAAATAATGACATACAACGTCATATAATATAACAAATCAGACAGAAAAAAAAAAGAAAATTTTTCAAGTTAGTGACTCATTTCTCTTCAGAATGATATTATTCCATAATTTTCTTCTTATGTGTTCAATAATCGTCTAAGTGAGTCAAAAGAGAAAATGGAATAACAAAGAAGCAGACCAACATGATCGAACTTAATGACAATTACCAATAAATAGATATTTTAGAATATCATCACAACTCAAGGCATCTTTTCAAAAAGAAGCATTCAACAAATTGGTGAAGAAGTCTAACGAATTAATATACATTGCTCAAGACTTCAATAGCTTCTACAACATATTTTTACTTCGATAATATGTGCAACTTGATTTTCGTATCTTATCTGAGAATCGAAAAGTAATTTTCTCAGAATGGTACTAAAGTCGAATTGTTCGTCATCATTTTTTCTTTTGTGATTCAAAATGTGACAAATTCTTGTTATTTTTCACTAATAGTAAAAAAATATTCTTTGTAGAAAAAGGGATGAATAATACCTGCACCCTATGTGAGTTGCGTTCCATCGAACATCAACACATCACTGTTTGACAGTGACAATGTGAAGAGTAGGTAGTGTAGTGAGAGTGCGTCATTGTAACAACACATAGATTGCTAGCAAAGCATTCAATATGTTGATGTAGACATCAAAATATATACAACAAATGAGAGTCAAATCCATATCTTTGAATATTCGGTCGACTACTGTGATCCAGTTAAGCTGCAACGATACACTGTATTATTAGATAGTTCTGCGTTTATCGTTTATATATAGGATGTAACTCTTACTATTATTCTTTCTTCACCATAATTTTAGTTGAATCACGTTCATCTAATAGTTGTTATTTCTTCTTCAGTCTCATTGCGAGCATTTTTCGATGGCAGTTTTTAGTTTAAGTGTAAGTTCGATTTCGCTCTTATCTCCAACATCATCTGAATTTAATATTCCACAGCATATTAAGTGGCATTTCAATTCAGAAACAAAAATAAACTTCTTTTTGCCAAGATTAGGTTAAATTTCGAATCCGTTCAGAACTCAATTGACAACATTGTCTGTATTCACTGTACCAATGGCGATAATGTTTTATCATGATTTCATGAAGATTCGATGTAAGTGTCACTTTGTCTCTCCTTCTGTTGTTTTCTTCAACAGTTGAGAATTGTCTTATCGATAGCTCATTCATCAACTAGTAACTAAAGAGTATTTTGGTAACTTCAGGAGGCTGAGCAAATTAGAATATCTAGCTCTATAGAGCATTTAGACGTTCAAATTGGTTTGGCGGAGACTGTTGGTAAGCATTCTATCAAGAAGCAGAACCAAAGTGAATGTCATGTAGTTGACTTCTGTCTGTTCAATAACACGTTTTTTTTCATATAAACTAGGATACTCAGTAAAATGGATGTATTTCAAAGCAAAATAATGGTACATTATAAATAACGTGCTAGTTCATCGCAAATTTCGAATCAATGTTCAAGATTACGTAATTTGCTGCGCATACATCTCAAAATATTGTTGTAAAAGAGCGGAAAAATATCGAATGAGATTGCATTATTTAAATTGTGTGACAATAAATAGCTCAATACTTTTCAAATAGGTCTAACAAATTATCATCAATTTATGCACTAATAAAATTGTAATTTATCTATGAACGGCAAGTTTATAAGATACACTAACTATTCATATGAATATGGCAAAAAACGTTTTAAAAAAGTTCACTAAATTGATAAAAAAAAAGGATCTACACTAAATGACTTGATTGGGAAGAGTTTCGATACATAAATCAGTACCAACTTTCCAAGTCATAGCATATTTTCGTGATAATTTTGTTAAGACAAATTGTGTGAGAATTCAAAATAAAAATAAAATTTTTAAAAGAAAAGCTATCAATTGGAATGTCATTAAAAAAAAGTTTTGTTGTTCATTGAGCTGTTGTTTCTTTTTCGAATACCATTTAATTTTTGGTTCAGTTTCACTTGAACGTACTATTATTTCACAATCATTATCAAAATAAAATCTCATCATTTGTGTTAATGCTGCATAAGGAAGTATTGGTTTTTTATTTTTATCTTCACCACGAAAATTAGCTTCAATTTCAACAGTCAAATCTCTAACGTCAATTATATGGCAACTGGTACATGTTTTTAGATAAACATATTCTTTTTCTTTAGAACCTGTTGGTTGATTTTCATCAATACTCAAATGAGATTTAATTTTATGTAAATGTTGAATAAGTATTTCATGGTATTAATATGATAACCATAAAGTAATAATATTTAATATATTGTGAGAATCACACATAAATCTATTAAAGAAAAATTTGTAAATTTTTTCAAAGATAAAATGTTTAACTTACATAGCTTCTTCAAAACCAAAAAGGATATGTTTTTTATTATTAAGTAATTCATGTGATATATTTTCGAGCTATTTAAAACCTGTTAATATATCAATCGTATTGAAATCTTCAAGGTCACCAATTGATTTAAGTATATGTGATGAAACAGTCGAATAAATCATATATAAATATCTTTAACATCACCTGTTGGATTTCGATTACTTCAAGTAAACCAAAGCCATCAATCTATTCCACAAAAAAGTTCCTTGCTTAAATCAAATAGATTTTCAGTTTAAATTCTCCAACTAGTTTTTGGTGATCTAGTGGTATCTCTTTCACTTAATGTAAATTGATCAGTATCTGGATCAGTAGCTATAATAAAATCTGCGTTATTTTGGGTGGGTGTGGGTGTGCGTATGAGAGAAGACTCATACGCACACCCACACCCTTCAATGATGTAACGGACAAAAATATTGATGCTTTCCAAATTCATTGATGATAACGGACATTCTTACCAAGTAATGTAGTAAATTTGATTTTTAATCAAAATCATGCCATGAAATTGACCATTCTAATTAATGAATCTGAAATGCATCATTGTTCTGTTGGTTTCATCATCATTTTAATGCCATTTTATTTTGATTTTTTTGTAACTCTAGGGGACTGTATTAGTTAGTTTATTACTCAACCAATAAAATTCATGATGAACGGTTTTTTCAATAGCTATCATTTGTATAAATTTACTGAATTTTTAGATGGTTAAAAAGATATTTTAAAGAGAACTATATGTAATATAAAAATCTAGAACATTCAACATACAGCGACATCTATCATTGCTCATCGCTTGTTTTTCAGGAAACTATCTCATCTATGATTAATAGTAGAAAAGCTTTGAAAGTGACTGAATTATGTTGTTCTAGGCTATTATTCAGATGAAAGTGACATGTATCTTTCAAGGCAACCGTAAGAAGTAATGTTGTTTTATCTGCAGAATTTCTGATATTGAGTATCAACAATAATGTTTCATATTATTTGTTGGTGTTTACGATATGATTTATTTGAAGGACGTAGTGGAGTTTTGTAATGATATGCTTAATTTTAATAAAGACTTAGTCACATATTCATTCTTTATATCTCGAAGTGAATGTCTATTTAAAGATAAACATCACTATTTAATGTGAATATTCGTAGTTATATATTAAGTCCTTAGCTAATTAAAAATACTTCGATGAACGACTATTTAGTCCTAAGAATTATTTTCAAATATCACTTGGAGTCTGAGTGTTGGTGGCGGTTTCAAGAAAAAGATTTCCGTACTCGCATTAACCATACCCACACCCTTGAATTCGACAACATTTATTCCTCAATACCAACTCTGTTGCAACACTTGTCAATCAACAATTAGAATTCAATTGAAATGAGATGTTCACATCTTCCTCATCCTTCATTGGTACACTCATCAAACAATAATTTCAAAGCCTATAAAGCAAAGCAAATTAGACATGGGTGGATCCTGAATAGATTATATTGGATTTTATTTTAAAATTTTTTTCTCAAAAACTGTTCGCGTTTAGTTTTAGAAACTGTTCATGATAAGTATGAAAAGAAAAACTAATTTCAGATATTATTATAATCTATTACGTCGACACCGATTACAAGCCATAAAATGACATTGATAGCAACGGTACAGATATCGTGGTAAGAAATCACTGCACTCTTCACATCTACCTCCACCTGGTGTATATGCCCATCCATTAGTGTGTTCACACTCATGATTAGCACGCAGTTGGTTAGCCATGCGTTGTACATATTCATTCATCTGTATTCTATTGTTGGCATGTGGCATTTGAAGAGCAGGAATTCTAATTAAGAAAAAAAAACAATTGTATTTTTCTATAATTCTAATTTTATAGTCGCTTATGAATCATATAAATACCTTTCAGCACGGGCACGAGCTTCATCATAAAGATTTTGTTCATCCCATTGGGGACATTGGCAATTTTTCCAGGGTGTTGAACATATGTAACAGAATTGGGCACGGCAACGACAAGTCATATGGTAACAGCCATGAGTCAACTCTATCATTGCTCGACATTGATAACAACGAGTCCAGCCGGCTTCACGAGCTGTTGCAAGAACAGCTGATGTTGCTTCATCCTTGGGACAATCAAAATTGCCATGACTAGCCGCTTTGCAAATAGAACATGTTTTTACTTGGCAGCCTGGTCTAGGACACAAATAATAAATAAAAACATTTATGAGCGTCAATTTCATCAATTTAATTTAAACGAAACTTCAAATGTAATTCTTTAGACATACTTTGGACATGTACCAATGCTATCAACAATCAGTGCTGGAGGAATAAATGTCGAGCAAGTAGGTTGTGAACAATAAAGACGATCTTTTGTTGAGTATTCGAGATGTTTGGCATTAAAATTTTCTATTTCCTTCGATGTTAATCTAGCTAAATCAATCGGAATTATTTTTTGACAGCAACGAGGTGGCATCAGTGTTTCATCTTGCATTGATTTCATAAACAATTCTTGAAGACAATCAATACAATATGTATGATTACATGGAAGACGAGGATCCGTTTGAATAGTATATTCCATACACAAAGCGCATTTTTTTCTAATAATATCGTACATGTTATTGATTCAAAGTCAGCCCTTGAATAGTAGGAATTTACCTCTTCTGTTGTTTGTAAGGGATTACTATATCTTGAATGATTGATTTGTTGCTAGTCACTACAATAGAAACATTAGTATATGTAGTTTGCTCTCATGACAAAATCTTCTGCATGTATATTAGCTAATTTGCCCATTAGTTACTGACAATATAAACTAATATTCTTAAGTATAAGCTATGAATTGCAGTAAGCTAAACATACTTGTTTGTTCATCTTCATGGTCATTTTCATTATCAGAATCATGAAGCAGCATTGCCATACTACGAACTTCATCAGGAATTGCATCCAATGTGATACCAGCGAGTCGTGCTGCCAAGATTCTATCTTCCTCTTCTTGCATTTCTTGTAAAGTAATTTGTCGAATCAAAGCAAGATCTGTACGCCATGCATCATCAAAATTTTTTAATAATTGAAAATCAGGATCCGAATGATCAATGGCAATCGCATTTGCCATTTGGTGTCTTCTTTTTTTCGACTATAGATTAAATAATAAATTTTTTATAAACTGAAATAAATACTTGACGAAGATAATGTACTATCTAAGCGCCAAATAGTAAGTTCTATGGCGGAAACTTTATCGATTTAGTATTAGAGTGAAAATATATGCTACATATGAAAAAAAAAATTAATTTTGCTATTAGAATAAAATTGAGATAATAGAAAAACAGTCTATTTTGAACACAGTGAAATGCTAAATCAAAGATCAAACAATTTGAACATCAACACCCCATACCTCGAAAGTATTGTTTCATTGTACACTTATATGTGACTTTTCGAATATATTTTGATCACGATAAGCGGATTGAAATTTTGATAACTTAAAGAAAGGATTGATATCACTAGCAAATGCTCGATTACTTGTATTAATATTAATCATTAAAGACTTCTTCGGAAGTCAGTTTCCGAGTTATTCTCCTCTTTTAGTCCATAATGTTACGGGAGGAATTATTTCATTTCTTGGATGAGTCTGCGTAATATCATAATATTAACAATATTACTTATGATCAACAATTGGAATCTTGGTAGAAATGTATTTACAGTTTTGATGAAAAGATATTCATAATGAATTTTAGTTCTCAAGCGCCTTCGATCTTCTCAGTGCTCTTAAAATTACTTTGATTTTCAATTATTCACTAGAAAAGAAACAATGGATGGGAGAGATTCGAACGGTCAACATACTTTCCAATCTCATTGTTATTGAAATAACGAAGGATTCTAAACTTAAAGAGAGCCGTATAATAAGATTCTTTGTTACACACGCATTACTTCTCAAACACGCTCTGATCCATGCTGAGCACTGTTTTCGTTGGGATTTATATCAGTCGATAGACCTCTGCCAACAGAGTAAAACATGGGTTACGTGTAAGTCAAACAAGCTTTTTATTGAAAAAAAAAACTTCTTCAAATATGTAATATGTTAATGCGGTACACTTGAGATGTCGTACATAACAGTATGTTATATACTGAAAAATAAAAACCATTTGAAGAGGAAAATGTAGCTTATTATCCTAATTTGATAAACAATTTTTTTTTTTTTTTTAGAATATAAACATCTTTATATCAGAGGGCAACATGAAAAGATTGGATACGCTCAGCCTATACGTCTTGTTCGAAAATTCTGATATCAACAAAAAAGCAAAATAGACATCGAAACTAGTGAATTATGGGATGGTCCAGAATGAATGAATAATTTTTTGTTGGCAATTTTATGGTGTACTGTCTCGACGAATATAATCTAATTTACTTAAAAGAATTATGCGCCGTAGAATTCTGGACAAAATGGTAAAAAGAGAAATGTCTAAGACCGATAATATCACATGTTATATTATGAAAAGGAAAGATTTGTAAAGCATCATAGTTATTAATTAACGAATGATTCATCAAGGAAATGCTAGTCTCAGTATTTTGTCGATATTTTTGTTGATTATTATCGCTATAAGCTTGGGACTTTTTTTGCAGAAGATTCATGGAAGAATTGCGCAGGAAATGATATGTTTTACTCAACAACTATACTTTCTTCCATTATTGTAATCGTATATCGCTAAAGAATAAAACTATGAGCAATTTTCAAAGTTTTTTACATTTTTCAATTATTTCTTTGTCAACATTTTCATCGTCATGTAACTGTGACTGTCTCTGACAACAGTTTCAACACATCACATTAAGCAATTCATTTTGAAAAGAATTCATTAGTACATTACAGACCTGATGAGCAGCTGAAACTGTCGCCAGAGAAACTCACCATTACATGGCAATGTGAACGCTGGCTAAAAAAACAAATGAAAAGAATAAAAAAAATTTGAAAATTATTCATGGCTTTATTCTTCAGCTATGTGCGATTATAATAATGAAAGGATGTATAATTGTTGAGAAAAACATATCTTTTCGTACAGAATTCTTCGATGAATCTTGTGCAAAAAAAGTTCGAAGTTTAGCGATAATAACCAACAAAAATATCAACCAAATACTGAAATTACCATTTACTTGATGAATCATTCGTTATTGAAAAAATGTAACGTTTCACAAACTTTTCTTCTCATAATAAATTATTTGTTATTATCGATCGTACACATTTTGCTTTTTTACTATTGTGTCGAGAATTCCACGGTGCATCTTTCTATCAGTAAACCAGATTATATTAACCAAGACAATACACCATAACATTATAAATAAAAAAAATACCCATTTATTCTGAATCACACGACATATGCAGCACTCGTATGTCTTCATTTATAGAAATTTATTTTTCTATTCTGTGGGGAAAAGCTATGGCCCTGAAGAATAGTAAAGAAATGTGATATACTAATATGATTACAAGCCAGGTGAGTTTTTTTTGTCTATTCTATTCGCTATTCTTTAAGAAGTCTTCTTTTTTTCAATCCTGCTATTTATTTAACTCTCTACTCATGATAAGGCCTAAAGAGACATAGTACTGATTACAAGTAACTTATGAAGAATGTAAAGTATATAAAACTATGAGCAAAGAGGGTGTGGGTGTGAGTGAGTGTGGGTGTGAGTGAGTGTGGGTGTGAGTGGGTGTGGATGTGGGTGTGGGGTGTGGGTGGGTGTGGGTGTGAGGGTGTGGGTGTGGATGTGGGTGTGGGTGTGAGGGTGGGTGTGGATGTGGAGTGTGGGTGTGGGTGTGGGTGATGGCGATATGGGGTGTGGGGGTAGGGGTGTGGGAGTGTGGGTGTGGATGTAGGTGTGTGGGTGGGTGTGGGTGTGGGATGTGGGTGGGTGAGGATAGAGTTGAGATGAGAAAGATATCATCATCCTCTCCCACCCTCCCACACCCACACCCACACTCACCCACACTCACACTCCACACCCACGCTAAAGATGCAACTAGATACTATCTCAGATGTCACACTATGAGGTGACTGATGGTTATAATGAAGCAATGATAAAATGAGTTGAAAATTAATGAGAATATTCGAATTTATTCAACAAAAAAGATGATGAATACGAAAGATATGATGACAATTAAAAGAGATGAGAAAAGAAAGCAAGAAAAGCGTGATGAAGTAACTGAACAAAACAGTCAAAAAAATGTATAATAGTAAAGAAAACTGTGTGTAATGAGTAATAGGAAACGAAAAATAATACACAAAATGAAGCAGCCCGGCAACGAATAGAGATAATAAGGAAATCACAAATATGAGTAAATATACACATAACAAGAAGAAAGAAGGAACATCAAAGATAGCTAATGCTATAATATCTCCTCTTGGTTCTGCCACTATATGCAGGCTGAAGAATTTCATTTATGACATTTCATTACTTAGAAAAGGATTCCTGAATATACTCTCTGTTTTGTTTAATGGTCAAATAAATCAACATAAATAATTCTATGTAACTGAACATTTAAGAGAACCATCTCATATTTGTTCTTACACTTGCGAACTGAGGACCGCCTTTATTATTGACATTGTGATCTTTTTTATCAAACTTCATTATTCTTCAGGAAGGGATTTCTTTAGTCATCGTACAAAAGAGCTTTACAATGAATCTCTGTAAAAAGTGAAATGAGTATCTCAAATGGCACTGTACAACAAGTATTGTTATAAACATATAATACAGTCAGAAAGAACAACATATATGTTGATATACTCGAAAAAAGACAAACACTATTATAAAAATACTATCAGCATTCGAGAACTGCTCAACCGCTGGTCGAATACAAAAAAGTAATAAAATGACTTGGGCATAATAATGATAATCGTCTCAAGTTACTGGCAAATGATAGTGAAAGCATTAAAAACTAATCTTTGATGGTCTTTCGTCTTTCATTTCTATCTATCTGTGGATTTCCGGTTGAAAAAATATTCAATATTATTCAATGCTACAAGTGTGGAACAGAACTGTACATTGAAATAAGACCCAATCGATAATAAGCAACAGAGTATTGATTATATTCCATGACTACCTCTAAGGAACTTGAGCAATATAATGCTTAGACTATCAAACAAAGAAGGATCGAGTCCAATTTTTCCTGACCTATTCATCATCTATCGGCGATTGTGTTTCGCACTAGACGCAAAGGAAATTTACATTGTGAAGGCATCACAACGGGAAAACAAGTCTAATAACTCAAGAAAATCTGGTAGTATAATTACATAGTTCTTCGGTAAAGCAGCAAAACAGTACTGAATGAAGGAAGGGAAACGTTAAGACAGGCCACAAAATGGGCAATCATCAAAGAGCACAGGACACTATCTAACTGATTAGGTAATGTAACTACAAAGCCAATTCCAATGATAATCACGCTATGTACTACACCTCCAGCTGCAAAAAGCGTTTGCTAAAGCATCTGTAGGATTAAAATGTACTATACAATAAGTTTTATTCAATCTCCGGTAAGCCAAAATTGTAGAGTTTCCAAAATATCAAGGGAAGCTAGCGTACCTTTCATGGTTTCTTGAGTGCAGTTATGAAAAAGACGAAGACGAATAAATTCACTGAACTCTTCTAAGAAAATTTGACTCTCTTGTTTATGGATCGTCAACATATGACGTAATGCCTGGCGACATTTCATGAATTGGTTTTTGTATTGCTGACAATAGGACTTTGGGGAGTGACGTACCTCACAAGAATCTCTGTAGAAATTTTTATCTTTGATTTTATTGGCATATATATTCATAAATAGAGTCGAATGCAATTATTACGAATATCGGTATACTAACTGCTGCAAGCCTTTTGATAAACAATACAAACAATGATTTTCTGGTGCTTCTATCGATTCGAATCATTTTTGCTCATGTATCTTCTGCATTAATTTCTTCAACATCAAGAAAAACAAATTCTTCATAGCTAAAACAACGTAGTTTACTTGAAAGGGCTTCATATAAGCTCCTTAGCAGCAAGATTAACTACAAAAATAAGAATCATCGCTTAAAACTCTTATTTTTTCCATCTCCTATCAAAACTATGAATTTCGAAATTTCCTGAAGGCAA